ATTTTGCAATGCTTGTGTCAATGTAATAATTAATAATATTTATTTAAATAATTATTTGTGATAGTTCATGAAGTTTGAGCATAAAACAATAACATTTTGTTATATCCAATTCTATGTATGTCATTCTTTCACGCTGCAGCCTTAAATTTTATTCATAATTTAATTTATTTTAATTTAATTATAATTTGAATATACTCCTCACTTTTTTGTAACACTTGTATTTATGATCGATTTAAGATTCTGATCTGCGTCAAGTCTAAGACGTTTTACATAATGAGGCAGTGGAAATTTCAATTTTAAACATCTCCTTGTTCACAAAAATAAATAAATAAATAAATAAATAAATAAATAAATAAATAAATAAACAAAAAAAAAAAAAAAAAAAAAAAAAAAAAAAAAAAAAACCCGTATCCCATAAAAAGTATAACCAGTACTATTCACACTATAATTTGGCTATGTTCGGGGGTTTATTTAAAGTTCAATTTAAAACAAAATTTCCCTCTGTACTAAAACAGTATTATCCAGGAACTATAGATAACATCGTTCATTGTCTATGTTGAGAGAGCCTAGTTTGTTTTTATTTTTTTCTTAACCCCCCCCCCCCCGTTTTCATTGTCATCAAAACAGAACCAGTTTTTAATAATTGCTTCATTTTTTTTTTTTACATCTGCTGCAAAAGCTAAGGTACTCAGCATATTTTCCCTTCTAGTAAGCTTTTAAACAAATTTAAAAATCACCAAAATATCCAACCTTGTCCTCCTGATCATGAAGCGAACGCCATTCTACTAGGCTGTCGTGACCGCTCGAATGGCAATGATTTTCATTCTAAATATATCTTACCTTCCCATTTCAACCATCTGAAATGATATTTTGCTTGTGTAAATTTTAGTTTGATTTGTAGTTATGGAGACCAAATTTATCCATTTTTAGTTGTATTAGTTATGCAAATGTAGTTTGTAAGGCTTATGGGACACAACACACACTAATAACTCCCTTTCATCCTAGTACGAAAGCCCATAAATTCAGTAAAGAAAACGTATGAGTACTAGTACATGCATACTAAATTAAATATTTTTTATCTTTGCTTCTCTGTAAAGACATGATACCTCTTGGCTATGGAAAATTTTGCTCTCCTATTGTGTCCAATCCAAGCTCCTGTGGTCTTGATTTGAACAAAATATACAGAAATGAGGATGCTTGCATACTATTCAAATACAGGGAGTACATGTATCCCTACCCCTCTGTGCTTCAATTTATTTATCAAAAAAAGTCAAAACGTTGACTCTCGTCATGGCCCTTTCAAGCTTCAAAGGACAAGATCAGAACAAATCTGAATCCATATCATACAAAGGAAATTTAAATTAAGTTGTTCTTTCAGTTTCAAAGTTAAAAAGATTTTTTTATTTGAAATATTGACTTCATTCTAGTTAACTTATTTTGGGATAATTTTGATTCGTTTGGATCAATATTCGTCAGCAAACAAAATTTTACTGGTTCTTGGGGATATAATTTCTTGATAACTCGTATATATATATACAGTGAATTCAATTATCAAAAAAAAAAAAAAAAAAAAAAAAAAAAAAAAAAAAAAAAAAGACAAAGTTATAGTTCTCGGGGATGTTGATGACCAAGGAAATCCCCCCAAAATGATACCTCCGCGAACAATTATGACTCTACAGTATTTATAAACAACATCTCCTTGGGAGAGAGCATTGCCATTTCATTAAAAAAAAAAGAATTTCCCTACCACAAAGATATTCCATGTTAAGTGTGGTTGAAATCGGACACATGAGATGCCCAAAATAAAGAAAAGTGAATTAAGAAAAGGACAAACAACAGACGAGAGACGACAAAACATCGATCAGAATATGTTTAGACATGAGTTTCAAAACAGCTTGACAACTGCTAAATAATTTTATCTCAATATCTTTATTGTTAAAGGTCTTTCCTGTTTTCTTTAATGAGATCGTTAAACATGGGTTAAGAGACCTTACGATTCAAATCTTTCATAAAGCAATTATTCAAACTACTACATACATACTAGAAAATAACTGTTCGAAATTTTTCAGTATACTGTTTTTTCTTAAAATAACCTTGAGGCATCTTTGAAAAATGTATCGATTTTGATATTTTGAATTTGTATGACTACCCACTTTTAAAACTGGGGGAAAACTTTTTCTTTCAGTCTTGTTGTTCTTTACAATCATTTTGTTAAATAATTTATCCATATATGTACACTGTGATAATATTTATTTAATATTTAGGTATTTCTGTCTGTAGATGCCTAAACAATAAATTTTATATAAAGTTGAAAGTTCCTACATGTATTTTAGATATATTTAATACAGCAGGTTTGGCTTTCCAGAAAACCTGAAATGTCATCTCTTTGGTATCATTAATGTCACAGAATAAACATTTTTTCTCAGCTATAACTGTGAGAAGAATCGTTTTCATTAATGGAAAAGGGGGGGGGGTAGTTAAAAAAAACTTGCAATTTACCCAAACAATCTTTGCTTAAGAAAAAAAGAGTGTCCAACTCAAAAATCCTATTTTGTGGATGGGGAGGGAAGATTTAAACTCTCTGCTTTATTTGAAAAACACAGTTATTTGGGGAGGATATGACTATACTGCAACAAAATGTGTAGGGAAGGGGGGGGGGGTAGGCAAGCTCTGCCTTTCAATTAACGTTTAATTTGCAACAGTAAAAGGCTTTGCAATAGTTTAAATAAATCGTGTGGGTGTGGCCCTCCTGATGACACGTGCCTGTAATATTTAGTACTTTATTCATTTCAAATATTCTTTTTTGTACACTGTATTTGAAAAATGTAAACTACTAAGCAGAATTCATAAAATTTGTAAACAATTGTTATACAAGAAGATGAGTAAAACCTTTTCGTTCCTTTTAACTTTATTTCAAAACCGCCTATTCTGACAGCAGTCAAGAAGTTTTAAAACGCTAACTTAAATTAGTCCAGCCCTCAATTGATTTCCAAAGATTTTCTTTTTTCTTATTCTCCGAACCACCGGGGATATAAAGGGGAAAATGAAGTACTCTTACATTAAAACCTTCTAATGTCAAGATTAAACTTTTAAAGTTTTATATAATATAAGTACATGAACACGCTACTGACAAAATATAGCATAGAAGAGTGAAAAAATACCATCAACGTTACTTGCAATGCACATAAAGCCTACTATTAAACATAATTAATGGCTTATCCAAAGACATAACGCTCACATGGATTTAAATAAAGGTAAGTAATAAAATTTAAATGTTATCAGCCAAAATTAAGCGTTTATAAATTATCTGAAAAAGAGTCCTAGTTTACCAACCCTGATTTTTAGACTGTTTTAAGAAACAATCATTTTACATATAACAGAAAAGTTCAAAAGCAAAGTATTGCTTATTTTGACTGCTTCAAGAGTTGACTACTTCTGAGTCAATTGATCAGATGCATTCCAGAATTACATGTAGAAATTTTGTGTGTATTTTTAATGTAAATTTAAGGTCAAGATCACAAATCACGTAATTTTGCTAATTCATGAAAATGTATTTGTGTCATGAAATATATAAAAATGAAATAATATCTCGCTGTCTAAATGGATAGGGTATTTTTGGATATATTAGGTCAAACCTCAAGTTCATAAGTATACTTTTATAATTAGATCAAACGTAACTGTACGCAAATGAATGTGCTATATAATTAAACATATTTTGACAAAATTCATGCTGATTCGTGAATTCTCTTCAAGATACAGTTTATAGTGACAGTTAAAATATTTACTAAATTTAGACAAAGATCAAATCAACAGTGACACAATTCTTCAGTAGCCTTTGTACTGTTCAAATGACTTGATTTGTCGGAAGACAAACAGAAAGTAATCTTTTGTGTAGACCGCTACTTAGTAGGTTCGTTGATGGAAAGCAAAACCAAGTGTGTCATTGAAATGAAGTAGGTTTCATAATTGTATAAAGTTTACTTCGTGTTAAAGATCTACAGTGTCGAATGCTGCATTTTCCCAAATAATTAAATGTACCATATCGAATTACAGAAGTTCTTATCTTAGTTGAACTTATATATAAGCATGGGATAAACACAATTACACCATCTTCCTTAATTTTATGACATTGTTTTACTTTCATACATATGAGTATTTTTTTTTTTGAAAATTAAAAGGGAATTTTCTTAGTAAGAGGAGATTCAAAGAATACCTTCTTTGGTTAAGATAATTTCCTAAAGCAGAATGGATAGGATTTTATTGATATGTGTTGTCATCACTGGAACAATATCAAACAGCATACAGCAGTTGATATACGAAGACAAATCGGCAGTCACAGATAAATGTGTGGACCGTGATTTTAAAATTTTCATTCAGTTGAGGGAAGTGATGTTAAGTAGATTATCTTCTATTGAATTAATAATGGAGGAAAATTTCGAAAAACGTAGAAATTCTTTTCATGAACCATTACGAAATGAATTTTCTCAGATTGATAAAGAAATGTCAAATATTAAGGGTTATATACGCAACGAAATCACTGCATACATGGATTTTGTAAACAAAGAAATGAATGTTTTAAAAAGCAGAAACCAAGAATTTGAGTCTAATGTCACTGAAATCATCAATTATGAAAGTATGAAAAACAAAGAAAACCTGTCAGAACTTAAAAAAGTAGTGACAAACTATACCAATGGAAAAGTTAACGACATCAACGAAACACTACATCAATTATACATATCAAATTCAGATTTCGCAAATGATATAATATCTACGGTTTCTAGTATGGAGTCATCTTTGGCATCAGCAGTGGAAACGCTTAGCAATGACACAAAAAGCAATATAAAAGAACTTAGAAGTGAATTCAGAAATATCAGCCTTCAAAATTATGGAGAAATGGGAGAGCGATTGGATGGTGTTGAGGAGAAAACATTTAATATGTCAAAAGATATTGTAAATAATCGCAAAGCATTAAATCGAGTTTCTCAAAATGTTTCTCTCACTGAGGTTAAAGTCAGAAATAATTCTGAAATGTTCTTTGAAATGAATGAAAATTTTTCGAAAACTTTTCACGATATCGAAGTTCAATATGCGGCAAAAATACAAGAAAACTTCAATGAAACCCAAAAAATTGTATCGACATTGGAAATTTCTGTAAATGAACGTATGAACAACAAAATTAAAAAAATCGAAATGCACTTAATTGAGACCAATAATCTGACCGTTTATTTGAATGAAACCTTGCTGAAAATTGAGGACAATCTCACCGCATCATCGGAACACGGACTGCAGTTTTGCATGAAAACGACTGACAAAATGAGAGAGACATTAAATGAGATAATTCAAAATATAACAACTGCAGATGATTCAATGTCCGAAACGTTTAGAAACATAAAACGTAGAATTAGTTTGTTGGAATCGGATACTCTGGCACGGCAGATTATTGGTATCAATTCTTTAACAGGAAACGTTTCGAATTTGCAAACATCGCTTCAGAATATCCAACAGACGGCTTCAGAGTGTAGTTCAAGACTAAGTGCCATGGAAACACAACAGAGTTCTTACAAAATATCAATGAATTCTCTATCAAATGGCTTGAAATCATTCAGTAAGTGCATAAGGGATATTCAGTTTTGTACATTGTAGTTGGATATTGAACAAATGCACGGATATTCCCTTTCTCTATCTACATGTATATGGATTCCATATATATATTTAACACTATACGTTAATTAAAGGGAAGGATAATCTCAAGTTTTTCTGCAATTTTGAAACATTTTTTGAACATTCATAAATAAGATATAAATAAGATATCTCTTGTGACCTTTTCACTGTGAAAATATATCTTGCACAAATAATAACTTCAAAGAATTAAATTATAGTTTTTCATTTTTTAAAATGTATAAACTTTCAAATATTATCCCAATTTATTTGCCTTATTGGAAATAATTTGAATTATCTGTCCTTTGAAACATTTTTTAAACGTTTTGTAGAAGATATTCGAATTCAAAAGTTTGCTATCTCTTAATTTCCTAAAAATCAATTTTTTTTTTTTTTTTTTTTTTTTTTTTTTTTTTTTTTTTTATACAAACTTTAGCTTTTTAAAAAAAAAAAGACAAAAAGATTCCCTTATTTCTTAAGCACGGAACTGAATAAAAAGAACTGTTATGTAGAACAATTATTATAGTTATTAATCATGCTTTTAATTTTCTATTCATTTCACTGATAACTCTCAAACTTGAATTAAATTCAGAAATTGTCCAAAAAACAAAACATTTCCCCTTCCTTTCCATATTTCTGAGATGAAGTATCACATTCATCAATCAGCAAAGCATTGTATTTATTGTGTAAACAAAGAGTTTTTTAAATTACATGATGGTTTAATTTTTTTTAATAAACTTGTTTAACAGTTCGGGTACGGATCACCAGTGGTGGAGCTAACTACGGTCGAGTTGAAGTGTACTATGATGGATCCTGGGGCACAGTTTGTGACGACGCCTGGGACAACAATGATGCACGAGTTGTCTGTAGGATGCTAGGTCGCAGGTATAACATGTACAGTGTATATGTTTTTATTCAAACACTCTTTCTTTATCCAAAATGTCGAACCCGATTCTTTATTTCTTAATTCATGACTGCTGAGTCGGGGACAATTTCAAGTACAGAACACTCATGAATTGAATATCTCGACCACAAAACATTTTTAGTCATTGTCAAAATTGCGACGTATATATACCGGTTACGAAGCAATATAAATAACTTACCAAACTGTTAAAGATTGTGATGCACTTTGAACATAAGTAATGGAATCTTCATCTCAGATGGGATCGAGAAATAATTAATTATCCCTTCACACCAAAATTTGTTCTCTAAAATTCAGAATCGGTGTACAAGATATTTTGATGCATTTAGAAACAAATGTTTTGTAAAAATAACCTCTACTAGTATTTATGAGGATAAAAATAGATTTGGCTCATAAATCAAGCAAAGTTTATTGATATACAATAAAAAGTAATAACAGGTTACTTTGAGCAAATCAATAATCACAGTTGTGAAAATAATTCAATATGACAAAGATATAATGTGTACCAAAAACATTTCTCTCTCTAACTTGTGTCGACATCCTGGCTAAAATATTGGAACCATTGACTTCCATGAATTAAAATTTTTTCTGTTTCTGTCCATACATTTACTAAATGTAGTTGTCTAGACTACGTTGAATCATTTCGATGCACTTTAAGGAGATCGAAACATTAAATCATTAACTCAAACTTTGTAGATGTTAAAATCATGCTTCTGGTGCAACTTTGAAACACTTGACTGCAAAAAGTGAGATTTGATAATGCATTTACCCATTAAAATGTTTCTAAATTTTGAGCGGTTGAAAGTGGGTAGAAAATAAAAAAAATGACGAAAAATTCCCTTGTTAGTGTACTAGTTATTCAAGTCGTAGAGTTGTGTCCTGATCTTTATTCTAAGATTTTTTTACTCAAAGAAGGACAGGGCCACTGAAAACGGAATCGTAGAAAAAATTATAAATGCAAAACCACATTATTTACCTCTAACTACATTCATATCCTTAATTTAAGTTATCTTTGACGTCAACTTTAGATACATATATATATGTTTAGATCTTGATTTCAAAACGCAGTAAGATTTTTCTACTGATGGTCGGCTGTATGATGAAAGAATAAGAAAAGATATTTATCAGAAAAAATAGATTTCCCATTTTGAATTTTTTGAAATCAGAAACAATGTCGGTTAATAATTGTTGATCGGAGACAATGTTTTTCTTTTGTTTTAGCGGGGGAACTGCAGTTAGTTCAGCGCAGTATGGTGCAGGAAGTGGTCAGATATGGCTTGATGATGTCAATTGTAGTGGAACGGAATCATCCCTGATGGAATGTTTAAAACCACCGTTTGGTATGCATAACTGTGGTCATAGCGAGGATGCGGGTGTATCGTGCAATTAACTTTGTATGTTAAACTTCTTATAATATTATTACTGAGTGTTTGTTTGTATTATGTTGTTTAACGTCCCGCTCTAGAATTTTTCACTCATATGGGGACGCCACCACTTGCCGGTGGAGAGCTGCAAATTTTATCCTATATTCGGCACTTACGGCCATTGAGCAGTGAGGGATCTTTTTCGTGCCAGCACCTACTGCGACACGGGACCTCGGTTTATACGGTCTCATTCGAAGGACCGGTCTCCACGTCCCACAGTGGGATTCGAACCCGCGACGTAAGGATCAACTCTTTACTCCGCGACACTAGAGCAGACTATGGAACGCCATAGCTGCCTTATGTGGATATTTCATGTGAAGGTGGTGCTTTATTATGTTATGCTGTGGTTATTTCATGTGAAGGTGGTTTTTTTATGTGAAGGTGGTTTTTCATGTGAAGGTGGTTTTTCATGTGATGATGGTTTTTCATGTGAAGGTGTTTTTTATGTAAAGGTGGTTTTTCATGTGATGGTGAATTTTCATGTGAGGGTGGTTTTTCATGTGATGATGGTTTTTCATGTGAAGGTGGTTTTTCAAGTGTTGGTGTTTTTTTTTATGTGAAGGTGTTTTTTTTTTATATATATTTAATGTGATGTTGGTCACTCGGAACTCCTAAATTAAATATTTTTGAAGACTGAGTTTAACACTGAGTTTAACTGCTATTATCTTGAAATTTTGAAAGTGAAACAAATAGTCAATGTAATTAAAATCATTTTTATACACCATTGCTAGTTCCTCTTTTTTTCCATCTAGGCACTTGGGTTCAAAATGGTGTATTTTGTGTATTATGATTTTTTTGTAGGTGTGTCTGAATACACTTAAAAACATTAAAATAAAAAAAAAATCACTGAAATTAGCACGTTTAAAAAGTGATTAGTCTATATAGTAAGAGTGTAGGTACAACAGTTGCCATCTTCAGAAAATCTAGGGAAGTCAGAAACCGCGCCAAACTTGTTCTCGTTATTCCGGGATGCCTCTACATTTTACTTGGTTAAAAATCGTCACTTCCATTGCTTTCACTTTCAGTTCTAGGTATCAGGACGTTTAATTTTGTTTACTGCATATTTTATACGGCAAGTTCGAATTGGCAGTCGATTGAAAGGCGTTATTCAATCATTTTTAAATGTAGATTTCATCCGAATTCCTGCCCGAAACTGGTAAGAAAAGTGTAGATACTGATAAATTAAAATCAAGTATGAACCGAGCCAGGCACGACGTAAAATCAAAGATTGCAAATGTCGTACCTTCACTCTTTTTTTTATATAAAGTAATATGACATTTTAAAAACTTGCTTATTTCAGTGATTTTTCTTAGGTTATCGAGTTAATGCAGACATAGCTAGAAAAAAAAACATAATACACAAAATACACCATCCTGAAACCAAGCGCCTATGGAAAAAAGAGGAACTAGCAATGGCGTATTAAAATGATTAAAATTATATTGACTATTTGTTTCACTTTCAAATTTTCAAGATAATAGCAGTTAAACTCAGTGTTAAACTCAGTCTTCAAAAGTATTAAGAGTTCCGAGTGACCACCATCACATTAAATATAAAAAACCACCTTCACATAAAAAACACCATCACATGAAAAACCACCTTCACATGAAAAACCACCATCACATGAAAAACCACCTTTATATGAAAAACCACCATCACATGAAAAACCACCTTCACATGAAAAACCACCATCACATGAAATAACCACAGCATAACATAATAAAGCACCACCTCCACATGAAATAACCACAGCATAACATAATAAAGCACCATCTTCACATGAAATAACCACAGCATAACATAATAAAGCACCACCTTCACATGAAATAACCACAGCATAACATAATAAAGCACCATCTTCACATGAAATAACCACAGCATAACATAATAAAGCACCATCTTCTCATGAAATAACCACATAAGGCAGCTATGGCGTTCCATAGCAGACGTTCCAACCACTGCGCACTGCGGGCGACTATTTCTGAGTGGTGTATCATGGCATATTTTAAACTTAAAGTGGATAAGTAATGAATATGTATAAAGTGATGAAATAAACATTGAATTTTTTTTTATGTCATTCTTATTTATTTTTCTTGTCTCTGATTTTGATTCTTTCTCTTTCTCTCTCTTAATTTGGATTCACAGAGAGCAAACGTTGAAATTTCAAAGAAACTAAAATTCTTTAACTCATAAAATGTTTTCTAATTTTCATTTTTTTCTAGTTTTCATTTCGTTACTATGAATTAAAAATACGTGCATTTTAATGTGTAGTTTTGTAAAACTACATGTATTTGTTAATATAAAAATTCAATGCTTCACAATGTCACAAATAATGTCAAACTAGATGCTGGCATAAGATAGTAATACTTGCACTAAGGTGTTTGCCTCTAAATGCACACTCCTTCATATTTGGGTAACCAAGGAAAAAGCCACAATAATTATAATTTTTGTGCATAGGTTTTTGATGAACTTAAAAAAATTAGATGCTAACATGTACTTTCAAAATTGATCAAATTGTGGAAATTTTATCAGTATTTGGAATGGCAAAAACCTTCTCCAAAACCTAAATACGATCAAATTTGTCAAAACCATCCCTCCCCACAATTTGCTTGTTTTTGAAAAAGATAGCACCGCCCTGTCCCCTGTCCCTAAAACGACAAATCAAATGATCATGTAACTCAAAAATGGTTAAAAACTTTTCCCATTGAACATACATAATTTTGTTTTTGTGTCATTATGTATCTAATGGTATAAAGGCTATGACCCCCTTGAGGTCATCTCTACCCCCTTGAACTGGAAATGTTCACAAGTGCATCTATGATAAGATTGCTTGAGATTCCATTCATTATTTTGGGTCAACCCATTCTCCTAGAATTAGGAATGAAAATCATTCAGAGAGATGCGCTATTAAACTTTTTGCACATTTTTATAAATATTCACATTTTTAATGAAACAAAGTATTGGTTTGCATACATGAACAAACTGGGGGCTGCGAAGGTAGAAAAGTGGAAAGCGATATCTCTGCATGTCTTAATTGTTGAAAACTCCTAAAATTTGTGACTATTTATTCCTCTTCTGACTTGTCATCATTATTTATCCTTCTCACAACATACAAGTACATGTTTAAGTCAATAGATACAGACTTTTGGTCATATTCCTAGTTCTCCTTGAATCTGGAATGATAAAAAATATTTTAAGAATGAATAAGAGTTGAACAAATCTTGAATTTTAAAATTGATTAAGCTCTGTGGTTGAATTAGCTTTACCGGTATAGCTTGATTTTGCTATTCAAAACACCTTAATATTCGTAATCATACTGTTTTCCAAAATATGCATTTTTTCAACATGGAGAAAAAGTCATACTATGGTGACTTGGTATACACTTTCAGCTTTAAACTATTCTGAAAACAAAGCATGAAATAAAAATTCTTTTCAAATATTGTAGCTATTTCCGAGAACTTGCGATCATAAGTTTTTATTTTCTTTTGCATAAGGCTATAAACCTGGTGTATTTTCTCTCTCTCCTTTTCTTTCTCTCTTTTTGGCATCTACATGTACTTGGGCCAAAAATTAAAATGGACTATTATAAGAACAGTTTTTTTTTCTTCAATTGATCAACTTTTAGGATTTTATACTGTGTAATTCATACTAAAGCTAAAACGATATCCTTCCCAGATATGTAAAAAAGTTTACTCACAATCATGTAAGTCTTTTTCATGATTTGTTACAAATTCCACATGGAACTCCTATCAAGAACATGTATGTTCTTCACTTAAAACCCTTAGACAATACACCACTGTCTTCAGAGTATGCAAAAACAAACTAATTATATTTAATAATTTGAAAACAATTCACTGAACCCTCAACTTATTTGTTGAGACAGGTAAACATACCCCTCACGGAATAATTATCATAGTTACATGAGCCTCTACAAAAAGTTTTAACTTATGTGAAACTTCATGACATAGCGTTAATTCAAGTTTGTCCAAATTATGACCTTCATGGGAAGGTTGGGGCCACAATAGGGGAATCAAATTTGTTCTTCCAGAACTCTAGTCCCCCTACAGTTTTTGACCTGCATTTAATTGACACTTGGAGCACAAGTAGACTATACTAAGAAAGATAATTCTGTTTATCAGCTTTTGATTTCCTTGAACACTGTTGCCATGGTTAGAAAAAATAATATATAATATATAAGGGAAGTGATTTTGGTATTAAAAACGTCATTTTACGACCTCCATTTGACCCCCCAGGGTGAAAATGAAAATTCTGAAACCTTAATGCACATCTACAGGACACCAACAATCATCTTCCAAAAGACAATAAGGCTACTGCTTAAAATGTTAGAGGAATTCTGGAAACCAGGTTTTTGTAGAAAGAGTCATTTTATGGCCCCCGTATTGCCCCTGAGGTAATATTTTAAATTGCAAAACTTTATTGCACGTCTACAAGACACCACCTATCGTATTCCAAAAGATTAACTGGTTACTGCTTGAAATAAAAGAGGAGTTCGACGAAGAAGTGTGACAGACGGACGGACTAGCCAATATCCCCGATCTTTCTTAGAAAGTCCGGATATAAAAACTAATTGGTTAATCACCTGACAACTGGAGCAGAGAGGCACATTGTTGTTGTAGCACCTACTCAAATGTAAACAATAAGGCTTACATGTATTTACAAATATTAACAAATATCATTACAATTTAACATGACACCCTAATACTATACACATTGCAGCTTTTGTACTTTTTACAATCTGATTAAAATCAGATCCTTTGATCCGCTTACATAGATCGCTACACAAAGCTTATGTAGTGATCTATGTGAGCGGATCAAAGGATCTGATTTTAATCAGACTGGTACTTTTTATATTTTACACATATTTGAATTTACAAAAAAATTGCATTTACTTCTCTTTTAGTAAATTTAAATTTACAACATGATAATTGCATGACATGTTAGAATTACCTTTAAATTCACGCCCGTTAAAATTATAATTGGTCCTGTAATGTGGTCACATGTACTGCATTGAGGGTCCGTGCACTCATTGACACTGCATAAGTATAGACATTGATCTGGGAGGAATAACGTATTCTCTCAAGGTTTTTGGGTTGGCGTTAACCGTTAATAAAACGACGTTTCATTTATTTATGCTTTTTGTTCATTCTCTCTAAGTACTTAAAGCTGTTCAATTTAAAAAAAAAATGTATCGATGTTTTGATTCAAGGATTTTACTTGTGCACAAAAGGTACATAGGCGTCGGAACCGGGAAGGGGGGGGGGGGGGCTAGGGTGTCTTAGCCCCCCCCCCCCCCCATTTTTTTTGCAAAGGTAGCCATAATGTAGGAATTGAAAATTGGGGCTTAGCCCACCAAACGTTTTTGGCAGAGAGTTAGCTCAATTTTCTGAATCAATCATTTAAATCGCGTCACTAAGCGGGTTAAATCCGGAAAAAAAATAAGCTGAGTAGAAGCATTCTAAAACTACCTTTAAATTTTACATTGCACCGCGTATACGTCATTCGTCCTGTCATATTGGTTGTTCACATTATCAGATTGAGAATAAGTTTTATTTGCCTTACTCTATTACCATCTTGTCATTGATAGAATTTCGTTTTACTTTCATTATCTTTATTTAGAATATTTACCTTTCGTATTTGATACTGAACTGAAAGATAACGGTTCCCAATGGATGGCAATTCCAGAGTATCATTTTTCAAGAAAATACTATGTAAAGCTCTGGATGCATCAACGAAAGGGTTGGCGGCACTGAAATTCCTAGTCATTTTGAAAAAGAAAAGCATAGATGCTGTTTGTTTACCATCCGTAAGTCGGAGCGATTTTGAAAGCAAGATTTTCAAACACGATCAATCTTTGATCTTGTAATCTACTGACGCTCCTCAAGGTCAAACTCCAGTGAAAGTGTCAGGTGATGGTAATTGTTTTTACTGCTCAATTTCTCTTTCAGTAGTTGGATGTGAAAAGCACCATGTTGAAATGCGGGTTAGAACTTTATTTGAACTGGTTCATAATGAAAAATGGTACTAGTATTTGAACGCAGAAATTTTAGGCAAAATGTCGGAAAGTGCATTCTTGATGCCATATTTTTATGCGACTTCGCTTTCAAATGAATGCAGGGTAACTGGTAATGCAGCAAAATCTCTGCAGAATGAAATTCTTAAAACTGCAAAGTTAGGCGAGTATTCGTCATTGCTGCACATTTATGCTGTTTGCAATGCAATTTGTAGGCCCATCCGAAGCATTTTCCCAGAGATAATAAATGCTGCTATCAACAGAGACTGCCATAATCAGCTTTTAAAGCCATTCAAGGACAACGATGTGTCTTCGAATGAAATATGTGTGATGTGGACTCATACATCCAATGTGGAACGACAGGGTTGGTCTTCTAACCATTTTGTTCTTACCGAGGGTTCAAGAAATTGAAGGATGTTGGTGAATCTCTCAGTAAACAACACTCGAACAGAAAAAAGACAACAGAGATTGTTTCCTGAAAATACTTGAGAGTTTAAGATATCTAGCAAAACAGAATATTCCAATCAGGGGGAAACAGGAGAGTTCTTCTAATTTTCACGAGTTGGTTAAACTGCAGACAGAGAGTGATCCTGCTTTGCAGACATGGATTCAAAGAAAAACTGACAAAAATGTTTCAGTGCAAGATCAAAACGACGCACTTAAAGTAATGGCTAATCAAGTTCTTAGAAATATTATCAATGAAAGATTTAGAGAATGTCAAATTTCTAACCATAATGGCTGATGAGACCACTGACATTTCTAATAGAGAACAGCTCGTTATTTGCCTCCGATACATCGATGACCAGTTTGTGCCACAAGAAATTTTTGTTGGCTTTTATGAAGTCGACGACATTAAAGCCGATACAATCGTTTCTACAATCACTGATACCTTGACCAGATTCAATATTCCTTTTAATAAATTACGGGGTCAGTGTTATGATATGGCTGCCTCAATGGCAGGGTCAAAGAGTGTAGTTGCAAAGCAAATTTTAGAGAAAGAGTGCAGAGCTCTTTATCCGCGACGTAAGGATCAGCTTCTTACTCCTCGTCTCTGGAACAGACGCTCTAACCACTGCGCCACGCGTACTGTAGTTTCAGTTACAATTCGTATATGAATTCAATAGTCAATAGCTTGTGTGTTTGCTCGACGTAGAAACTTTTTTGCTGGTTTAGCCCCCCACCCCCCCCCCCCACCCCCTACTTTCAATTTGCTTCCAACGTCTATGAGGTATTATTTCTTCGTCATTCGCACGTCGTGTGTTTGGAAGTGAATGTTATCTATCGCGCTCCTTGACTTTCCTTATTCCATTGTATACCCTTTTTTGCCTAATAACGGATATTCCTGGTATCGATATCTTAATTGAACAGATCCTTCTTGCGAAATTATATGGTATAGCTGTTTTATTTGAGGTGGATGGCAAAATCCGAAATGCAGGTATGGTGTGTATCTGTGGGGCTTGTAATAAATATCCGTATATAGGCTGGTATTATCTTCCTATAAAGGAACATTTAGAAATGGAATTTGCGTATCATTTGTTTTCATCGCGAATTTTATATCCGAGTTCATTGATTTGATAGATCGTTAAATTCCGATAATTTATTGACATCATCATCCCATAAGATAAAACAATAATCTAAAAATCTCTTCCATTTAGACTGTTTATTATTTGCAAATTCCACCCCCACAACACACATAGTTGATCAATCATGTAACTTATGTTCTAGATAACCTAAAGTTAACGTTGCATAGGTACATGTAGGTGTACATAACTTAGAAAAAGAATATCTTTTCATCGCAAAACTCGTGTAATTTCTGTCACTCTAATTAGTTATTTTACTCAAAATGTCGTTCGCAAATGAATTTAAATATCTAATAAGTGTCTTTCATCACTAATATTTCACATTCATACGAAAGCCCATAGAGCTAATTTTTGTAGGTGAAAAAATATTTTTCGCGGTATAATGCGAAAGTTTCGCGAATGAAGGCGAAAAATATTTTTTTCTACATGTGTACATACAACATTGAGCTCAATGGGCATTCGTACATGTACATATAATTTCATAATTGACATGAAAAAAATGTTTATTATCTAGATCGTTTTTTAAAAATCTCGGCGACATTTGATATATTAAAGATATGATTCCCAGCTCGAGATCAAGATTTAGTTTTCAAAAAAAAAAAAAAAAAAAAATGCTTAATTGACGCACTGGTTTTGCCTACGTGTTAAGGAATATAATGAAACAGCTAAAAATCCTTTTGGAAGCCAATGTCAGGAATAAAATAACTGAGTGCATTAGGATATGTTGATAGATATTAAGATATTGCAACCAGAATACGCGCAGAAACATTTAGGCTTTATAAATAGCAACTGAAGCCAACATAGGGGTAATATTCCAGGAGTTTGTGAATGGAAAGCTGCTGGAACAAACAAATTTTATAGAGAAGCTTGGGCTAGTGTGAGGTTCTAAATTTTGCTTCTATTATGTTAATGTTTATAAATAAATAATAAAAAAAAAAGAACAGTACCAGTTCTCATCACTTGTCCGCCCATTCCAGGTAGCAATTATCTGTTGTCAAACCTCTTATCCTTCACTTGAAAATCCTCGTAAGTGGCACTTCACTCTAGAGGGCCAGCATGTGCAAAAACTTGACTTGTTCGATGGATGCTCCAGAAATTAACAATTCTATCATAAGCAATCACGTTCTCGGTCTTCTGAAAGGGTGGAGGGGGATGGCATTTGTACAATTGTAACGATATCATAATAGATCCGTTCAATGTATTCAGAACTTTACTATTTGAAATAGGCATACTTCGTTAAGTAATATATATATATATATATATATATATATATATATATATATATATATATATAGATATAGATATATATATATATATATCAGATTGTCGGAGATATTAATGACAGTATTATTTATTATTTGGCGCTTTGGATCGGGAGATAATTGCATGGTCCACCACCAAAGGAACCCCCCCCCCCCTCCCCCCCCCTCGAAATATGAAGTGTTGCAAAAAAACAAAAACAAAAACAAAAATGACTGTCCAATGGAAAATCACGCACTAGGTTTATGGCAAGTGCGTGGACATAATAAATAGAAATTATGCAAAAAATATGAAGCAATCAGAGATCAATAAAGTCAATATCAATATAAAGTTCAATATATATACAACACAGATGGTATGCAAACAATTAAGTACGCCACTCCATTTGCAATGCGTAGATGCATCAAAACATATGACTTTTCTATATGCTTTACACAACAATTCCTCACACTGAATTAAAAAGAAGACTTTTTGACATCATAGACAAGTGCTTCCTCAGCAAAAATGTAAATTGCAAGTTTTCATATCTTGCGATTGGTCATATACAAAATTACTTCGTTAAAAATTATTCTGATTCTACATACAAGTATACTCTGAAGTTTATATATAAAAAGACGCTGGAGTTCCTCACTGACAATATCTATCTAAATACTTGATGTTATGTTGTGATTTTCACGGGAGTTCAATGTCACTAGAAAAAAAACAAGAGGCCCATGGGCAAAATCGCTCACCTGAGCACATTGGTTAGGAAAAAGCACAAATCAGTTCGGTATTGAAAAGTTTACGGGAGGAGGAGGGACTTGAAGACTTCAGGATGCCTCCATATCAATATTACTAATCATGGCTTTGCTGTTCTTTGGCAGAAGAATTTTAAATATTTCTTCCTATGTTTTCCTATGCAAAACTCTGATCGCTCATTGTGTCCCCACCCTACCAACCTTCATTTGAAACAAATTTGAATCTACACTACCTGAAGATGCTTCTATAATGATATGGCTAATCATGACTTTTCTGTTCTTGAGTAGATTTTTCAAGATGATTCCTTTATATTCTTTTGTAAAACTTTGACCCTCTGTTGAGTCCCCCCCCCCCAACCCCCGCGGGGCATTAATTTGAACAAACCTGATTTTACAATACCTAAAATAAGGTTTATTTTCGAATAGAGCAATTTATGTTAAAAATCTTGTAACTTTACTTTTGTTGATTTCAGAATGTGTTTCATCTTTCTAGTATTTTACTAAAATATTTATTTGTAAACCTGGAATATAAAGCCCCCTTTTTTTCTAACTGTTATTCGTTTTTATCCGGTTCCGAAATTTTATCAAAGCCCTTATCTGTCACAGCCAATCAGATTGCCGTTCAAGGCATCTATTTACATAATTCTTTGTTTACTCGGAGTGCTGCCACAGAAAATTTGTCTGACGAAAAAGCAACCTCCACTCCATCCCCCACATATTAAATTAACAATTATACCTATTATTTGATGTTGTATTATATTGCATTATCGCATCTGCGTGTTGTAACAATATTGTGGCTGGGAGACCACTGTTGTGTAATAATTTAGTGACTTGCATTTCTAGTCATGAAAGAGTTTATATGTCAACAAGCTTGATGCTGGTATGTCTCCCAGCCAAATTCTTTCGTAATTGTTTTATGGATTACATTTTTCGTCGTTTAAATATATGACAGGTTTTTTACACTTAACATGTTTTTTGTTATAATTATTGGAAACAAACAGAGCTGCTATGTTGCCTAGGATTACCAGTAAGGTTTTAACATAAAGTTGCTTCTGTATAAATGTGACTAATAATGGTTAAGTTTTTCTTGAGATGAAGATTTTTAAAGATATTTCCTAAATGTTCCTATGGTAAATTTTGACCCTTGTTGTGGCCCTGCCCTACCACCGGGGGTCAAGATTGGAACAAACTTGAATCTACACTACCTGAGAATACTTCTATAATAACATGAACTAATCACGGATTTTCTGTTCTCGAAATATTTTTAAAGACATTTCCTTAATATGTTATATTACTATGTAAAAAATTTGACCCCCTCTTGTGGCCCCAACCTATCCCTGGGGCTTACGCTATGAAAAAAACTTGAATCCAGAGTATGTAATGATGCTTTCACATAAGTTTCTTCTCATCTTGCAGTGGTTCTTGAGAAGAAGATTTTTATAAGATGCAACCAAATTTTCACGAATTCTTAATTATCTCCCTTTGAAAAGGGCGTAGCACTTCCTATGTGAACAAACTTCCCCTTCGGCTAAGGATGCTTTGTGGCAAATTTGGTTGTATTTGGCGAAGTGGTTCTTGAGAAGAAGTCGAAAATGTGAAAAAGTTTACAGACAACAAACGGACGCCGGACACTCTTTGATAAAAAAAACTCACTTGAGCCTTCGGCTCTGGTGAGCTAAAAAGTAAATTCTGTCTTGTCCATAACCCTGTAACAAGAAACAGAGGCAAAGCTCACTTAGTATACCAAATGACCTACAATATAGCGCATTTGCAATCATCCACAATATTTCAATATTTTATGATATCAAATATATTAAGCTACGAACAAATACAAATTATACCAGTACCTTTCAAAAATAGTCACAAATGTCTCAGACGAGAAAATGAAATATATAGATTTTGTCGGGGATATATGGAAATCTATTAAGAAAGCATTGAAAAATATAGATTTGTGAATTTGAACCAACTATATACTGTGTATATATACAAATGACAATTTTTTCTCAATAGTGTGATAGTGTGCATAGCCTAATGGTGTACGCTTAACTGTTTTCGTGTTAGGGGTCCCAGTTAAAGTCCCCTAAGTTCCAGATTTTGTTTGAATTATTCATACCTTTAAGTGTTTGGGATTTTTTGTTTTTGGTTTTTGGTTTAGATACAATACAGTAACTTAAGATGCAGCATTTCCTGAAAAAGGATATAGTGATCTAGACTTTTCATGAAAACAAATACCTTGAAAACAGTCATGAAAAAAATCTTGATGCATATAATTCTGTAAGTTGTCAAACAAATAAAATATTTTTTAAAAATTATGAAAAAAATATTTGATTTGATTATGGTGATATATGGAGAGAGGCTTGTTGTGAAGTAATAAAAGAGAAATAATTCGTATATAGTTTGAGAAAGTGTTTCTTGTGAATTTATAGCCCCAAACAGAGCATAAGTTTACGAGGAAATCTTTTAAATAATATACATGCAGAAGCAGTTCTGCATATCCAATTCGTCGCCAATTAAATATTTAAAAAAATTAATAGTAATAAGTACTTTTCATTTTAACCTGGTAGTAGGCGAAATATTGGGAAAGGGTGCTATATTTCTTCTGTATATATATGCATGTAGAAGAAAAATACAGCAATGGATATCCCTTTGAGAGCTCATACTACCAATAATATGTTTAACAAAGACATGTATGTTTCAAGTAATAAATCATAAGTATATTTAACAGAAATAATACAATTTCAGACATCGTTGGGAATATTTATATTATATTCCTCTGTTGAAGTCCTCTGTTGTGCGATCTGGGAAATAGTTCTGGCTTAAATAAACAGTTTGCACATAAGAAAAGTATGTTCATTTAGGATAAAAAGAGAATGTTTGACTTGTAGATATTAATCAAGATATAAGATTGTTATGGAACATGACATGCAATAGATGAATATTTATACCCCGGTATGAAGTTATTAAACTTTGTTAAAATCATACTTCTTTGCAGATCATTCACACTTTTTATATAAAAAGTTAGGTTCCTAATTCTGACCAGAAAAACAATGCTCTCCAAGCAAACCACGCAATGAGAATGAAAATATTACCTGTCTTGAAAATATCATCCTGCAATGCAAGCAATACTCATTGATTCTTTCATATTGTATTGGGTAATCTTTTGAAAGCAAGGAATGCTGGGATTTATTCTACCCCACACTATTGATGTTTTAAATGTTCTCAGCTGCATCATTTCGGGACAAAATAAAAGATGCTAGGAAGTTGGGTAAAGATGTGCTTAATAGTTTTTCTGTGCGCATTTATTATTCCGTGTATGACCTATGAGCTATTCGAAAGTGGCAGATCAAATCTTGGTAAGTTTCAATCTCTATCTTACAAGCTTACAAAAAATAATTTGACATTATCTGCAGTATTTGTATATTGAAACATTTAAAGTTTATGTTTGTCGAGAACAAAATCTTGTTGAAATATGTAGACGTCTTAAAATGATTTACAATTTACAAAGGATTACAGTTATGTCGACTGGTTATTCTTTATTCACCTCAAGAATAAAACGTTCTGACACTGAATTGAGTTAATATTCAAACTATAATTAACGAATATCCTCAGAATTAAGTATTTTTGCGATCAACTTCTAGCAACCACAGATGATTTCTTTCATGCATTGGAAAATGAATCAGCTTCGCAAATAAACATGAAACACGACATACTATTATGTGATGCACTTTTTGTATTATTTTAAATTGTTGAATAGATCTATCTTGTTTTTAAATTTGAATGGAGAATTCAGTTGTTCATTAATTTATCGGAGTTCTTGTACACTACATTATGCATTCCCTAAGGTACACAAGAATAATTAAATTCTACATCCTAGTTTTACGATCCCCAATCATTTTTTAATAAGGAATATATGTTTCTCTTAAATCTATTTACATCATGCACATGACTAAATTTTCACAAGGCAAGATTAAAATGTGTCCAAACTAATTTTGAAAGTTATTTTTAGATTCAGAGTATTGGCGTTTCTAAAGTGAATTTAATTCGTTTATTTCTTGGTCAGAAAATAATCAACAACGTGTTTTGAGGGTTAAGCAGTTCGTTTTAATTTGTATCCTCAACATTGTACAGAATTACTCCCTTTAAATCGTTTACATTTTGCCATATCCCTCTGCTATCTCGCATATCTTAAGCAAATTCATGCAATGTTAACTAGTACTTTCTGAATTGTGTTCAGTAATATTTGTTGCATTCATTTTAAGATCCATCTTCGTCTCTGACCGTTTCGCCCTAAATTTAGCAAGCTACTGTTTCCAAGTAGTATCCTTTCATGGATTGCTAAATTAATAAATAAATTATTATGATTTATAAATGTATTGTGTCTAAAACTTCCACATGCATACAATCAAAAATGCAAAAATGTGCATGAGTTGCAATTGCGTCTTTCAAACTTTACTGAAAAGGACCATTATCATCGAATCAGGCTATATATATTCACTGTAGCATACATTGTAGATATTACCAACCTTTAACTTTTTTTAATTTCAAAAAGCAATAAATTCCCTTAAAAAGGCTTGCATTAAACCTTATTATATGATAATAACCATTGCAGGTCGTTTTATTCATGTTTTTAGAAAACGATGAGTCTTTTTATTTGTATAAAGGTATATTTACAATTTTTTTTCCTATATGAACCTACTGAAAAGCATATATAGTTACGTTCATTTCCGTATACTACGTGCCCAGAGAATATGGCATAATGGGGTCACACAAGACAATGATACATGTGAAACTAGCGTCGGAGCATGTCATTTAGTAATATAATCTTCCAATGTGAAGCAGAAACAAAGACAAAGATTAGATTTTTTTTATTAATAAATCTTCAAGAAATTTTCCTGAAGGAATCTGAAATTTATTTCTTTAAAGAAAACTGCGGAAATTATTTAAAAACATTATAAGATGTTTTTGATACTCTATATCCAGAGAGATTAGATTGCAATTAATTTTTCAAACAGTTAGATTGATTTTTTTTTTTTTTTGACATACCGCAACCTACGTTATTAAGGTTTTATCCGAAAGACCCGTGTCTTTCACGTCTAATGCCGGGAGTTAAGCAAAGGAACAGCCATATTTTATACGTCTTCCGTGTGAGGCGGCACTGGGAATTCGAATCAAACCTGGACCTCCCGACCACAAAGCATGTGACAACGCACAAGGCTACCGTGACCGGATAGATAGCTAGAAAAATCGTGCTGTATAACTACAGTTTAAAAGAATCTGAATTTTTAGTATAGAAGAACTAAAAACTTTCAAGTATAAAAGACCTTAATCAGCTTAAGGATATAGAACCAAGACAAAGCAGAGGGCAGTAAAAATTAATGGATTAAGATAAAACGTTGTATCAGTGACTATTTAGTGTATTTCCTTGTTATCCCTGATACGTTACCGGAAGTGAAAGAACTATTCTCTATTTGCAACATGATCACGGAACATGAGGTACATGTACTTAAGTATGACTACAAGGAAGAGAGATCTAGAGGATCTTCACAAAATATTAAAATTGAAAGTTGATAATAAGCCCACAATCTTATTGTTTTTTTTTAAATGAAGCATGGAAAGATAAATTTTGAAATAGATAGATAGATAGATAGATTCACTGCTTATATTCTAAATCTAGAAACCATTAAACAAACACACAGCCATCATTTTCTTAATTCAAAAATGGCCTATGACCTATAAAGTAAACCTCAACAATAGATTTTGATCATTTTAGCAAGTTGTGACTTCCTCAATGATACATGTGGATGGTCAACCCCAGATAAAAATGTTAAGTATGTACGATTCATCGCAATCTGTGGCTTTCGTGGGAGTCTAAAGGCTTGTATCCTCAGTGATTGGTTCCAAGATGGCGATCCTTGGACTCCAAGGCAAATTCATTCCATCAACCTGAATGGTTCGTGTTAATAATAGTAGCAGTAAGAAGATGTCTGTAATCTACATGTATAATCGATTTCTTTCACTTACATGTACACATGGTTGCAAAATCTTTTGAGATATATTCTTTTTGTGCTTCATATTTTTTAAAATATTTTTTAATATCTTTTTAAATAGTGTACAATGTATGTAGTAGAAATATAAATATGTCGCTCTCAGAATCATCTTATTATCTTTTATGTGTTAGTTTGCTTTCTGAAAAAATAAACAAGTAAATATACATATAAAATATAAATACTTTCATATTGAAGAATGAATACTTTTTTTTCTTTTAGGAATTCCCGTAAATATCAGCGAAAGGCTTTATCAACTCAGCAACACATTCGTCTTAGCGACGATACTCATATATTCGGTTCCACCTCCTTTTCAAAGAGTTAGCGATATTGTTAGTAGTGAAATTCCTCTTTCAATGGAACACCGCTGTCTGCAGTACAGTCATCTTGTCCTTGGGAATGCAGCATTAGTTGTTGCATACATCAAGGACTATTTTGAACCGTTTGAGCTTTCTAATTATTTGAGCGTGCATGGAAATTCTTTCATAATAGAATTTAGTACATCATCGACCATTCTACCTGTTGGAGTCAAATTTAAGGTAATTTTAAAAATGAAGAAAGAAATATTATCACAGTAAAACTCGGTTATTAGGAAGTCACTAGGACTTCAAATGATGGTTCCTTGTAAGTGAGAGTCTTTATTTAAGGAATAACTGTCTTTTTTTTGGATTCATGATGTGATCAATCGAGTGGCTTGCGTGATAATTTGCATAAACGCCGAAGGCGTTTATGCATAAAATTATCACGCAAGCCAATCGATTGATCATCGTCATGAATCCAAAAAATAAGACAGTTATTCCTTATATTTACATGCTCCTGATTCTGCAAATTCCTGTGCTAATAGCCCCGCTTCTGTCTATTTGTCCCGCCCCGCACGTGATTTTTTTTTTACCGCGCCTATCGATGAACCAGTAGATTTATGTAGAAATAAAGTATTTTTACAATTTGTAATTTTATCTCGGACAAAGACATTGGAAATGTAAATATATCTGTATTAAAACATAGTGCAAAGTCTTCCACGGGATGAAAAAAAAAATCATTACAACTGAGATCGATTTCTTTTAACTTTCTTATAACCGAGTTTTTCTTTATTGTGACTTTGTTAAATAATCCATTTGATAGAAATTATGAACACATTTTCTATTTCTGCAAGCTTTGAAGCTGTTATATCGAAATTTGATTTAGCATATTTAGCATCCTGATTAGAGTAACTTTAAGTCCTGTCTAAAAAGGTATTAAATAAACGGTGGTCAACATTTTATGAACATCAAATTCATGCAGTGAAAGAAGGGAAATGATAAGAAAAATTGCTGTCGTAATAAAAAAAAAAAATGAAATAACAGTATTCAAATAAGTTTTATATTACAGCAAAAGTTATTGTTTTAAGATTGTGTTTCGAGCTGTCTATGACATTTTTAACACCTATGGGCTAGTGTTTCTCTACAACATCTCAATAACGGAAGGCGTGTGCAGTAAGTACAATCATGTACTTTTTTGTCAGTATAATTAATAAGACGTAAAACATGAGTATTGTACATTACTTTTGAAAGTTAAATTCCTTATTATTCTGAATCACTTATCAGGTTATTCTATACCAGTATCATTATTCTTATTTAGCCATTTAAATTTCTAACATTCTATCATTTAAATTTCAATTGAAATTATTATTTATTTTGTTACAAAAATACTTTTTTTCCAAACATCATGAAATTTTTTTTCTTTTAAAACCCTATAACAATACCTGTACATTGCTGTTCAAAATTTTGATTAAAATCTCAAAAGTATTATTTAAATTTAGATAGTTGTAGTCCTGACGAATTTCGGTGCAGTCCGTATCGTGTTGAATGTGTTCCACTTTCCAGAGTTTGTGATCTCCAACCCGACTGTTTGAACGGAGAGGACGAAAAAGGATGTGGTAATGTTTCTTTACCCCCAAAAATTAAGGCATAATGAACAGTTCATGTATATTTGAATATATCTTTTTTTGCTAATCTGTCTTCTGAATCACAATCACTCAATCACTTCTGAATGAACAAATTGAATTGAGATTGCAATAAAACGCAAAGACTGAAATCGCAGTGATATAATAACACAATAATCACCTAAAAATTTTTCTATGCCAATCGTTAAAAACATGAAATTATGAGCGTTTAATTACAGATTCAGTTTCGTTATGTTCTTGATGAAGACTTTGTATGCTGTCATAAATCACCTACCAATGAATCATTAACCAGTAGTAACGCATTTTTCTTAAATAACTCTATGCAATACTGCTACTACCACTACTACTACTAGTTAAGAGTTTTGATAATCTAATAAATTCTTCGTCTCTATAGTTTATTCTATCTGTATAGACACTGTAGTAATATACATTAATGAAAGTATTACTGTGATGCATAGGGCTTCGTTTATTGACAACATTAGACAATATAGCATAAAAACAAAACACAAACACTAGAATTTGACCATAAGATATTCAAGATGAATAATTACATAGACGTTACCTTGGTACTGTATACAGGGAAATGTTCGCCCCCGTTTTATTTTCGCCCCTTTTGCCCTAAACACAAGTGGGCGAATTTAAAACGGGGCGAATTCAAAAAACACAATGTAATTTGTTTAACAGAATTGTGACTGGACGAATTTAAAATTATGGTGCAAAATTGTTTGCAAGTGTGAAAGGGCGAAAATTACACGGGGCAAAAATAACCCTGTATGCAGTATTATAAAAAGAGATTTATGCTTATTTCATAAAGTAAAATTGTATTTCATCTTATTGTATCTATGGAATGGATAGAAGACGAAGATTTGAAAAGGCATCAGCATGTAATATTAGGTCTTGTGTTTATCAACATAGCATGACTATTTAAAAAATAGCAAATTATGGTTATCTGGTACATTTTGGATTCGTTTCAGCAAAACGCTTCGAAACGTTTTTGCAATACGTTCTATTTCCATTAGTGAACTCTTCAAAATTGAGGCGCGTTTGATCGTCTGAATGGGGACAGCATGGCGTTGCGGATAATACAAAACATGCCAATCTCAATCCAATTTTAAATGTTAAATGTATTTGTCATTCCAATTAAAGAATAGAAGAACTAAAAGACATATGTAAGAGAGCGAGAACCCTAAATTTATCATCCATTAATAAAAAATACGACATTTCCGAGGCATGTGTATTGTATTTAGATGTACCATACGATAAATAGATACATACGATCAACAAAAGGTATAAATTGATATCGTTGTCATTCCTACTCTTGATGTACATGTATTTCATTTCAGATTTTACTGATCTAAAATTCCTTTGCACAACCAACTTACAATCGACATATTTGAATGCTTCTGTGATACAGGAAGAAAAACAATGGAAGAGATCGGTTGAAAGCAAAAGATTTCGTGCATCACAAACTATTCGTCTGAAAATTTGTTATGATGGACACCAATGTCAATCTGACCCTTCATATATATGTTTCCTCTCCTGTCCTAGCAGTTGTACGTGCTCTGGTCTCTCTTTCAATTGCTTATTAAATAACGCGCCAGTTTTTGCAACCTCTGTAACTTTTACTGGTCTTGTGCAGAAAATATTGACATTTAATGAAAGTTATTTGAATTTAAAAGAAATTAAGATTTTTCATTGCAAATTGCAAATATTATATGTTAGTTCTGTGGTTTTTATAGAACCATTACACATAAGTCACAGTTTGATTGATATTGTCTTGATTGAAGATGAAACTGAATATCTTCGATTTGTTAGTGTAGTAAACAGTTCTTTTGAATATATAAGGCTCTGGAATAAAATAAAACATACATTCAAATTCCATGTTCACAAAAGCACCGTGAAAAATTCCACTGATATATTGATTGCTGATATGGTTGGTGTACATGTAGACCTATCGGAGTCTAGAGGCTTTCCCTTTATAATTCACAGTTTTTATGACAATCCATTAGTTAATTTTAGTTTTTGCAATTTATCTGTTCAACCCAATTCCGTCATAGAAACTGTCACTCTTGATCTAAGTTATAACCTTTTAACCAAGTGGCATATGTCACCTGTGGTACAAATTTTGCATCTTCAAGGGAACTTACTTGAAACAATTAATTTTACATTTGATTTTAAAAAATCCGAAGCACGTTTACAATACCTTGATCTGTCCCATAACTATATCAAGAATATTGAGAAAGACGAATTTGTAGATTTACCCAATATTCTTTACTTAAAAATCAGAAATAATAGTTTACTTGATATTCATGAAAATGCTTTTTCAGTCATTTCAAATCTCATAGACTTAGATTTGTCAAATAATCGTCTTTGCTTACTAAAACGCAGCCATTTTATTCATCTTTCAAATATAAAATATCTGTATTTACAAAACAACAATATTAAAGTTATAGAAGGGATGTTTGACGGTCTTATAAATATTCAGTATCTTCAAGTAGATTCCTACACACTTTGTTGTGCCCAACCAAAGGCCGTAGGCAAAATTCGGTGTTTAGCACCAGTAAATGAGATATCCTCTTGCTATAATTTGATAGACACTCCACTTCTAAGTATAAGTATTTGGTACATAGCTCTTTTATCTGTGTTCGGAAACTTACTAGGCCTTCTTTATAGACTTCTTGTTTTAAAGGAGAGGAAGGTAACGTCATTTGTCATTTACTCTATTAACCTTGGATTAGCAGACTTCTTCATGGGAGTGTATCTCTATATTTTAGCCGGTGCAAATCTAATGTTTAGTGGCCGATATGGTTTTGAGGACGACTCATGGAGACAGAGTCCTCTATGTACTTTTGCTGGTGTTTTGGCTACTACTTCTAGTGAGGCATCTGCTCTGTTTGTTCTTTCAATTACAATAGACCGAATTGTTATTATACGATTTCCTTTTTCACAATTTGAAAAAAATCGTTTGGTTGCAAAACTGGTTTCTGTTTTGGTTTGGACAATTTCCCTTTCTTTGTCCGTATTGCCTCTGTTCGGAAACCAGTATTTTAATGACTATTATTCTAGTTCCGGTATATGTATTTCCTTACCTCTGTCCGTTTTACGTAAACCCGGGTGGGAATACTCTATGGTGATCTTCGTCGGAGCTAATTTCCTTATTTTCATAGCGATATTACTGGGACAATTTGTTATCTTTACTGATGTTGTTGGAATGGGAAAAGAGGTGAGCTCACAACGCACTACACAAAAGAAGAGGGAAATCAATTTGGCTAAAACTTTGATAATGGTGGCAGTTACAGATATGTTTTGTTGGATTCCTATCGGAGTAATTGGTAAGTATACTTTTAATACACAATGATAAGAAGACACAGTTGTTAATATAAACTGAAGATTGAACCTCATTGTTGATATAAACTGAAGATTGACCCTCATTGGGATATGTTTAAAATGCGTCTAAAATTTGACATTGTAGGACTTCTTACTTTCTTTGGCATCGATGTCACAGCTAAAGTGTATGCCTGGGTCATTGTCGTAGTTCTTCCAATAAATTCAGCATTGAATCCAATTATCTACACATTTTCGGCAATTTTGAGACGCAGAGGACAAAAGGTATGACTGACAAATATGTCATTGATCAATACGGTTACAAAAAGCCATTCATATATATACGCATTACTATTAATTGTATTGTCTAACATAGGACCTAACACAAAAGACTAGTTACTCGAAAACGAGGGAAAAGAAGTTGGAGGAGGCACATCAGGTATATTCGTCTGTAAACAATCATCTAATATCAAAGAAATTTACATGAATTTTGTGTAGACTATGATGAACCATCTTTTATAATAAAATTTATGCTGACTAATCAGATAATACATGGCTCATCTTTTAAATTTAGGAGGGGCATTGCCATGGCAAGATTACAAAATACAAGACTGAATATCAGAGTCATCTGAAGCAACGCAGCGTTAAATTAATCTCTGATGGTCATATTTGAGCATGAAATGGAGATTATAATTTTACATAATTACAAAGGAAAAGATAGATCGAATGAAGCGTTATTAAAAATATGATATAATTCCCTTGTCAGCAAATTCAGTCTATAATTACATCGAATGCTGACTAACTTTTTTCATACTAATTGTTATTATTCACACACTGAATTGTGTATGGATTATTCCGTTTGCACGATCATGACAAAGATCACAGGTCGGATGTGACCGGTCGATAGGGGAGGTGATGCTCACTTGATCCTTCTTTGATGCTTTAAGAGGTTCCCGTTTGCTCTGCTGCCGATTTGTTCTGTTTCAATGGATTTTTGAGCTTGTTTACTTTTCGTTATCTTCATATTTCATGATATAATTTGAGGGAATATAAAAGAGATACCAGGTCAGCTGTACGAAGTTCAAATATGTTTGTAATAAATGCTTTACTTTTAATCATTTTGTTTTAGAAAATATATAATTTTGTTGCAATTTTTTTTATTGTACGTCTCATTTTAAATTTGAACTGATATATCAAAGTAAAAAAAATGTCAGTGTATCTTTTGTTTTACTTATTAACAGAAGGGTGCTATAAGGCTAGTGTCATTAGTCATAGAAAAGGTAAATTATTTAAGTTGAGAGAGAGAGAGAGAGAGAGAGAGATTTTAGCGAAATAGAACATGCCCTAAGAAGTTGCTTTATTTGTTTTAATCTGGAAAATAATTGTGTGGGTTAATTTTTTTGTATACTACTATAGTAATTTACACTTTTTGTATACTACTCTAGTATTTTTGAAATGTTTTTACTGTGTCAAAGTTACATTTATGCAACAACGACAATTTGGTTTAAGATGTTTTGTTGTGAAAATAGGTGGAATTATTTTATTCGATATTGAATTTGTACTGGCTAACTGACCGTGATACGTTAAATAATGATAATTTAATGGAAGTTCTAAGCATGATATTGTGATATCCAGGGAGATTTTATTTTGAAGCTGGCATGTTACTAGCTACTCACAACAAAATATGAAGATTTTGTTCTTCCATGATTTAAGAATTTTTTTTTCTAACTTTAACATTTCAATAAATGTCTTTATAAAAATTGTAATCCTTAGCATAAATAAAATATTTTATATTCAATGCTTGTACATGTAGTAATTTTTGACCTCTTTTATGTTGCACCATTAACTTACTCGAATTCTATTTTTTAAATGATTGATCAGTCAAAATGAGTTTAAAATGGATAACTAAAATAATAAACTTCAAATGATTTGTACTAATTAGAAATGCTTCAAAATAAACTTTTTGATCAGATTCAGCAAAAATAAAAGCTAAACTTCGAGTTGATGAATTAACGATATATTCTACAAGTTCCATTTCAGCATTACTTAGGATTGACTTTGTTATGGACGAGTCCATGTCTCACACTGAGGTTAGACTAAGGCTACCAAAACAGTAGATCCACGCCTTGGTACTGCACCTCGTCAATTATTTACAGCTGAGACCGATGCCGAATTCCCAGATTTTTTTTTGAAAATGAACAGCTGATAATTTTAAATTGCATGTATTTCATTAAAATGGCCTGGACACAGTTGAATTATTGACAATTTTTAAATGTCTATTTTTTATTCAAAAATGACTTCAGTTTAATACTTTGAACTTACGTGAATATTCTAAGAATTCTAAGACGACGACATTCTTCATAACATCTCGTCAACCACCGGTGTTTAGACAGGGCACGAGCTCTATTATTGTTAGTGTGTACATTTTACCATATCTGTTCAATTTGTTTAGCATATACACATCACTAAGCACGGAGTGCAGTACTCTTTTATTTTGTTTGTTGTTTAACGTCCCTCTCGAGAATTTTTCACTCATATCGGAGACGCCAACACCTTCTGGTGGAGAGCTGCAAATTTTTGACCTATACTCGACACTCATGGTCATTAAGCAGTGAGGGATCTTTTTTAGTGCCAGCACCTTCTGCGACACGGGAACTTGGTTTATAAAGTATCATCCATAAGACCGGTCTTCACGTCCTCCGTGATCGGAAGGTCGTGTGTTCGAATCACGGCCGCGACTGACCTAAGTCGATAAAAAATAGGTATACTTGCGAATTTGGTTTGCTTTTTCGCATTTCTCTTCTGAACTTTCTGGATTATAATTTTCATATTTTTCTTTAATACACAACAACATTTATACTTTTGTTAAATATTATGTATAAATTTTACTTTGTGAACGTGCAAGGATATGTGTTAGTCAAACACGTCTCCGAAATTCGTAGTTTTAATAATTTTCAGATAAAAGAATGTTCTAAATTTGTTTTAATATAATTCGGTGTGAAGTGCTTTTGCAACATATAAGTCATGATATTATTTAGCAAATTTTAGAAAATATGAGCCTCAAATCTGTGTCCCATCCCCTTTAAGGGCCCATTACACCCTGAGACTTGTGAAGTACAGTGTATATATCGAGAAAAAAAACTTTTACTTCCGTTTTCTATTGTTTTTATACCATCTTCTTTTGGAGATTCTCACGATGGCGTCAGAGATAATAATTTGTATTATTATACTTTCATGTTAAATACTAAAATCTGATTGGTTTAGACGCATTTAACAATCCGTAATGTTACCCTCAGCGTTAGCAACACACTTGACAACGGGTAACATTACGAAAATATTACAATCATGCGTTCAAATCATGCGCGTACGGTTCACCGTAGAATTCTCAAAACGTCGGTTGTGCGTTTGAAATAAGCCGAATAAACGAGGTCAATAAAAACTTGCGTATGATGTAGCTTATACTTGAAAACAACAAACGACAGACGAAACATCCTTGCGAGTGCACACTTTAGATGATAAAGGACTTTTTAAGTAGCAAACAAACAACAAAGAGGTTGGTAAATCTTTTCCGAAGCTTTCTTATTGAGAAAAATAGAAGTGGGGAGTTTGAAAGCTTTCTAAGCGTGAACTTAACGACGATCTCCGAATTTTTTTTATGACATCCGAAATCAATAAGACATTCAGTATAATAAAATAAATAGTGCACGTTTTTGAGGGTAACAGTTGAAATTGAGACCCCTCGGAAAACCATTGTCAACCTCCGCTGACGCGTCGGTTGACAATGGTTTTCCTTGGGGTGTCAATTTCAACTGTTACCTTCAAAAACGTGCACTTTTTATATAATGTCAATGGTATGCAGTTAACTAAAAGCAACACCATATCATAAAAAAAGACATTGTTTGACCAAGAAAAAAATGTAATTTTAAAAAAAAAAATTCAGTTTAAGAAGTGCAGATTTTTGAGTTTTATTGCATAATAATTCGTAAATAACAGTTATAACAGGTATTAATGAGAATATGTTTTTTTCGTTTTTTGATTAGCCATGCATTCACACTAATCAATCCAAATATCGCAATGATATCATTTCAGTTTCCAATAATGATTAACATAGGTATGGTGACATCTGAGGTGCTCTACCAGGTTTTTTTTAAGTCCTTGATAACAGGAAAGATAACTCTGAGAGGAACTTTAAAATTAAGGATTATTCATTTGATATAAATTCAATTTCTTCTTGTCATTCAATTCATTTATTTTCTTCTATACCATCAGTAGTCTCTCATAATTTTTCATCCAAAGATGAAATGACATATTATTTTTTGATAACTGTTATAAATTTCAAAACAAAGATATGTTGACTGGAACAATTAGGTTTTGGTGGTTAATTTGTAAGCTTAATAATGGCAGGAAAAACCCACATATTTGATTTGCTACTTATCAAAACTCGATGGGAAAGAAATTTCAATACTTATGAATTTTAATAAAAAAATCAGTATCAATTATACTTCAATTCAATTTCCATTCCTGTTTCAATTCCTACCCTATTTTCACTGATTGATATACTTGTTAAAAGTGATGCCCAGTATTATTACTGCATAAGCTGGGGATGTGTGGAGGACCCTAAAAATAAATTCCTATGTCGTCATTAGTACATTTTTTCCAGAATTGGTTCATTCGCCCTCGTTACGCAGTGGTTAGAGAGTTCGATCTAGAGTCGCGGTGTTGGAGTTGATCCGGGTTCGAATCCCACTGCGGCACGTGGAGACTGGTCCTTCGGATGAGACTGTATAAACCTAGGTCCCGAGTCGCAGTAGGTCCTGGCACGAAAAAAAATCCCCCATTGTTCAACGGCCCTGAGTGCCGGGTATAGGTCTGAATTTGCAGCCCTCCACCAACATGTGGTGGTGTCTACATATGAGTGAAAAATTCTCTATAGGGAAGTTAAGCAACAAACAAACAGACAAATAGAATTGGTATATCCACAGATTTTCTTTCACTTGGCGTTGAAATCGACACAATGAAATTTAACCTTTTTTTCTTCAATTTTCAAGATAATTTGATTATGTGTTCATCTAAAATCACTTGAGATTTTTATTTTGAGCAAATGAGAGAGTATTAGTTGCTAACCGTTACCTCGGAAAACATGATAATGTATTGTGATAAGATATTTTTTTAATGTTTGTTTTCACTGAAGCACATTTTTGTTGGCATACATATTACTTGTATGCAGGTTTTGCAAATTACTGGTATACTCATTAGTAGAGCTGCTATAATTGAACTGTTCAGCTGTTGTA